GTATGGAAACCAATGTGACAATAAATTTCATATATTTAAAAAAAAAAACTAGCAGGGGACTAAATCCCTTGCCCAAGGTCACACAACACAGGCATCATCTGGGCTGGTCTAACACCGACTGACTACAAAGCTCGTGTGTTCAATCCACTCCACTGCATTAATCCTCATCATGGAGCAAGAACAGCAGGGACTCAACACTGCCGCTGAGCAGAGGCACGGAGGCCTTCCCGGCGCCTGTTAGTGTTTACGCTTCGTCGGGCACCGTTCTCAGCATCGAGATGTTTAAGGACTCTATCCAGACAAAGACCCTGCGTTCCAGGGGCTTTTCTTATCAACCCCACTCCACAGGTAAGAAAGCTGAGGCACAGCGGACTTACACAATTCTGCCCACGGCCACCAGATGAGCGGGTAGTTGAACGAAGAGGCCAACCCGAGGTAGTCTGACTCCAAAGAGCCACATGGGGTAAATGTTTGCTTTTGCTTCCCCCGAGGATAGAGAATCAAGAAAAAGCTCGGATTGGAGGCAAGCGATGAAATACTTTTAATTCTCCTCTTCACGAGAGTGTTGGACAGCCAAAAGACAAAGCAACAAGATTGATTTTTCTGCTGACGTATACGTTTGTAGCGTTAAGAATGTCAGGTATTTGAAAGACAGGGGGAATCTCACAGAAATTGAGAATTCCAGGATTACTAAATGACTTTGTGGACTAAGGGTCTCTCAGCGAAGCCAAATAGGCTCAAAGGAAGAGTTGTGAAGAGATCAGGGAATATGAGAAAGAGAAAAAAGTTCAAAGTGAGTTGAATCAGACTACAAAAATACTCCTTCTCTCCTCCTCCTAAACATTTATATGCAGAGGGCATTGTTATAGACAGCATGTTCCCCTGGATGAGAGCGATCAGCCAACATGCTCAGAACCACCTCCAGAAGATAGAGTCAACAAACAATGGACGGAAGATTTGATTAAATGACCAATAATATCTCCTTAACTGCAATTCATTAAAAATGTTATTAAGTACATCATGCCTATTCTTTGAATGATTCAGAGTCTATGATCCTAGATACAAAACGAGATTCTAAGGACATAGCCACAGAAACAGTCTGCTGATTATATATAAAACAAGACAAGCGTGCACACACACACACACACACACACACACACACACACACACAACCTGAGAGAGAAAAGGAGAGCTGGCTTCTGCATATTTCATAAAAGCCCTAGGTGTGGCCACTACCTCTAGGCTTAATGAAACAATAATTAGAGAAGAAAAAAAACATGAAGAAGAAGCCCCTGTTGTGGCATTTTTACTAATAGCAGAGGCTGGTCTAGATCAGGTGAACTCCCATATTTCTTCTGAACAATGTCCCAAGTCCAAGGAAAGTAAAGGATAAGAAGATAAAGAAAGAAGGTGGTGTAAAACAACTGGTCTAGACTTCAAAAATATCAGTGGAATGAAAAACCAAGGGAGAAGGCATTAAAACATAATTTGTAATGCGCATGTGCCATACTACCTACAAATGGCACATATCTAACATTTCCATACGTTACATATCTAACACTATGGGAACATTAGAATCTGTTAGAGAGACAAGAAAGCAAGCAGAGAAATTAAGTGTAGAGGTAAGTAGTTTGCGAGACATTGGCAGTATTCATAAGATGTGCTCAATATAGATAAATAAGTTAGTGACTTCTGGCATATATATGACTAGATAAAATGTAACCCAAATGTGCCGAATATAGATAGAAAGGGATGGGGGGGGGGAGGG